TTTTTTTTTTTTTTTTTTGGTACCAGGGATTGAACTCAGGTCCTTGTGCTTGCACAGCAGGTGGTGAAACCACTGAGCTAAATCCCCAGCCCCTATAGGCTGTCTTTTGATCAGGATTTACCAAAACCTAATTGTGGTGGAGATGGGAGAGGGAGATGTGGGTGTTGAGGAAGGGAAGAGCATGTTATTTCCATCCGCCATAACCCAGAACATCCCTACTTCTCTGATCATGCGCCCATACGTGCTGGTAGAAAGAAAGAGTGCCCTCTCCCTGCTTTACCCTTTATTCCTCAGGCTCCAAGTTGGCTTACTTTGAGAAGAAATGAAATGGATAACATTTTTCTAGGTTTTCTTCTTTTATGACTCTTGAAAAGTTCTGTTCCAAATGCACAATTGTCTTACACTACTGTCCTCTCAGTTTGCTTTCATCCCCTGTGATACCCGCGCTACAGGACTCTGGTTAAATATTTGTCTGTGTCTTCACCATACAGTCAATCTATCAGACAAATGATGATGTCTGTTCCCAAGCAGGAGCGGAGAAAGAGAGACCTGTATGCAGGGGTCTTCTCTGCCAGCAACCTCAGCATCTCTGTTGAGGCTTAATATATAGCATTCACTGGATGCTTGTGACCAACAGCAAGGGCTTTGTGAGGGCTGTAAATTGGAACACCCTGTCATAATCTTCCTTCTTCTGTCTTCTTACAAGACCCAGTGAATCTGAGCCTCATCTGCAAAGGGTCAAGTAGGCAACACTTCTGCTATGTTGGCCTACGACAAGAGCTTGTCGCCATCACTGCGGAGGTTCCAGCTGCATCTTGCAGATGAATGGGAAGATCAGTGAAGCTGGGCTTTATGGAGTTTCCACTGATGTAGGCATTGGGTTTCTCACTTAGCCCACCCCCTTCTGGGGTTGGTGGACAGTTAAATGGGATTGGAATTGCTTGCCTTCTGCTTTAATCTGCTCTTTTACTTTTCAGTTGAAGGTCTTAATTGTGATGACTTCTAGGAACTGCAGACATTGAGCCTGCTTCTGTTTTGACCCATACTCATCCCAGCTTGAGTGATGTGATGGGGCTTACTATTAAAGACTGTCTCTCCCTTTCCTAGGGTCTTCTCATCACTCTACAGCTTGGTTCCCACCTGAGGTAGGCCACCTGTTGTTGGAGCTTTCTGGGTTTTCTCCCTTCCAGGAGCAATAGCAAGGCAGGTGTCAAGGGACCATAGTGGACACCTTGGACTCCATCTCCTGGGCTCTGTCCTTCTGTGGACCAGCTCTTTGGCTTTCTTCCAGTCCTCTTCCAAAGCTCCCCGCCTCCGGGAGCTGACCTGTACCTCTCTAATTGTCCCTTGCAGAATACTCCCACCTGCTCCCGGGAATGCTGCTGCACCTGAGAGGCTGGAGGCTCTGAAATACCAACGGATAAAGAAGCCCAAAAAGTCATCCAAGGGCTCCTCGAAGTCAAAGAAACAATCCGGTAAATGGTGGGAAGCATCTGTGCCTCTTTCCACCTGGCTTTGTCCTTAAGGTTGAGGATTATTGGGGCCAGGCTCCCAGCCTGGGCTTTTCTAGAATTGAATCCACCAACTTCTCTTGTTCTTGATTTCCTTTTAACCATTCATTTTCAAGTAATCACAAATGATTTTATGTAGAAAGCAAGAAAGGTGATAATCTGATTGCCTTCCCCTCCCTCCCAGCCCCTCCCCCAGCTAGGGACCCATCTCTCTACGGTTTGTGAGCCTGCAGAGCCTCTTCTGTCCTACAGCTTTAGAAAATACCAGATATGGTTTTAATGTGTTTCTTAACAACGTAAATAGTGTATATATATATATATATGTATATTTTCCCATTCTACAGCACACTTGAAAATGTCCCAATCTTATGTATTTATTTCTCTTGTATTACTTCAAGCCTTCTGGTTGACAAGGGAGTGATAGGGCTTGGGGTACATATGGCATGGGACTACCCTCTGCAGGGTGACCAGACTTTTCTTTGTAGATGGAGTGAGGTTTCCCTACTACATACAGGGCAACTCCACTGAAGTATATCTTGTGGTTATCCAGCAGTGACTGATACCTTTTAAGACAATGTAAAAATAATTTAGCCCTCTTTTAGAAAATTCCTTAATATTTATCAAATTCTCTTTGCTGATGGCTCTAGGAATATTATAGCAGACTGTCAAGGAAGAATGCTCAGCAGTTTCCTTGCAGATCTTTGATAACAACTGTAGAGTAACTTTCCTTAGAGCTAGAGTTATGGAAGAAAGTGTTACGCAGAGGTGAAGCCTACTGCATTGCTGGGAGATGGTGATGGCCAATCAAGAATTTAGCCTTGGGGGCAGGCATCAGTTTCCTACCAGTTTATAGGTGGAAATACTGAGGCAGAGAAAAAGAAAATGAATATTTTACGGCTTGGGTAAGAAATTGGAGCCCAAAGCTGAATTTTCGACCAACTTAAACCCATTATAATTTAAGACCTGTCTGTCTGTCTGTCTGTCTGTCTGTCTGTCTACCTTCCTACCTGTCCTATATATGTGTGTGAGTGCATGTATAGTCAGTCACGTGTCACCTAGTGATAAGGACATTCTGAGGATTGCATTGTTAACCTGTTTTGTCACTGAATGAGCATCACACAGTGTGCGTACACAACTAGGATGGCCAGGGTATCACTGGGTGGTGTGATCTGTGGGGCCACCATCAACAAATGCCATTGTTATGTGGTGATGACTTTAATTTATAATAAGTCAAATTTCTTTGCTTATTGGAGAATAAGCTACAGTGGATGTTTATGTTCTCACTTGTAGTGAGAGTGGTTCTGGTACCTGTTCTGTTTTGACAGCTCTCAAATGTCTGTCTTCAGTCCAAGTATCTTCTTTGAGGTCAAGTTCATATTTGCAGTTGACTGTTGAACTTGCACTTAGATGTTTTATAAGCCTGCAAAGTGTCCCAAGTAGAATTGTGGCTTATCTTTTACAAATCTGCTTCACCTGTCTTCTCCAGTTTAGTAAGTTGTGCTGCTTCCTACCCAGTTGCTCAGGCGGCTTCCTCCTGCATTCTTCTCTTGCCCTCTCAGTTACACTGAATCCACTTGGAAAGGTCTATTGCCTCAGCCTCAATAATATGTCCAGAATCTTGCCACTTTTGCTGTCTACGCTACCAAAACTGCAGAGTGAGCTCCCTTTTCTTCCTGGGCTGCTGCAGAACCTGGCAGTATCCCTGGGTCCCAGTCCATGCTCCTCCGACAGCATGTTCTGCACAGTCACCATAGCTTCAGAGAATGTGACAGTATGTGTGTGTGTGTGCGCACACACTTATGATGGAAACCTTCCAGAAGCTTCTCCTTGCCGCCAAAACAGATTTCAGAGTCCTTGACACCCTGCTTGTCTTTGCAGCCTCTCTGTGATGACCTCTGGGACATACCGCATTTACTCTCGACTCCGGGTTCACCTTCGAATGGGAATAATTTCCCCTCATATCTGGGGAAGGCTCAGAATCTCAGACATCCTTAAAGAACTAACCTTCAGGGGATAGGAGCAGTGCCTCGGTCATTGGTTATCATGGGACCCTATTTTATCCTTCTTTGTCAGAATCTGAAAACTTTTTTTGGTATTTCTTATGTTTTGACAGTTTGCCCCTCCTTCCTCCTTGCTCATTTACTAAATATAATCTAGAAAACAGAGTCTTTTCTTCTGTGTCCCCAGAAGGGCCACTAGGTGGAAGAGTAGCCATGGCAGGCCATCCAGAGTCCCACCCTGACTCTATTGCATGTCATTAAAATCTGTTATGGCTTGGGGTAAGTGAGAAAAATGTAGAGTTCCCACCCATTCTTAGAAGCCCTGATTCCTGGCACCTAGAAGAGGCACTGCAAAGGAAACATTTATAGATTAATCAGGGAGATCTGTGAATTTACAGAAAGAAGAATCATCTCCACCTCCCTTCCCTGACTCATGAAAACAAGGGAGCAGGGCTGGGCTGTCTGTCGTTGTAGCAGACAAGAAGGTGTATTCTCTGTAGTGGTTTGGTCTCAAGTCCCATGTGCTGAGATGATCTCTTATTTCAGTATTGGAAGCTTAGAGTGTGCACTCCGGCCTTTTCATCCCCTTTCTCTTCTTTTGTGTGTCTGTTTTCTCATCTTTAGACGGTTCTGCCTCTCAGGCTCAGCAGCTTCCCAACTCTCAGGTTCTGTGGCCCGATGAAGCTGTCTGCCTCCGAAAGAAGAAGAGACACTCTCGTCCTGACCCCTTTGCCCGGCTCTCAGACTTGTGCCACCGCCAGCTTCCAGAAGACCAGACGGCTATCCTCAACAGCGTGGATCAGGATGACCCAGGCCACGCCACTCTGCTGTGACTCCACACTACTCTAAGTGTCCCCAGGGCAGGGTGGGGCCGCAGGTAGGGAGGGGTTTCATGAGGGGGGCCTTGTCCCCCTCTGTCCACCAAGGGATGGCTCAGTGTCCGGCTTGGCCCTTCTCCCCCAGGTCCTAGCCACCTGGCCTCATCTGCAGGACAGGCTGGGGGCAAACCTTCTGCCTGTGGTCAATCGGTGACAGGAAGTCATCTGGCTCTGTCCCACCTCTCCCTCTTCACTTAGGTGGAATTTTCTCACCTCTTCAGATGTCTTTGGAAGTGAAGAAGAGGAAAGCAATGGCTTTTACTGCTCTGCTTCTGTTTCAGTTTTTTGAGTTGTGGGAGAGGGCTGGACCTCTGTCCCATCTTCCAGACTCCACATATATATAGATATAGATACAAATGCACATGTATGTAGTTGGTGGGTTTCTCTATGTGTATATATATGTACATTGCAGCAAAGTGCTGTTTCCTTCTCTGGTCCATGGAAAGGAGGAGCATAGTGGACAGCTGGGGTTTGTGAGTAGGGATGGCCATGGTTGGCGGGGCACCCTCTTGTCTGTCTTGGGGGACTGTTCCTGTCGAAACAGAGTTCATGCCTCTTGGCTGAATTCACCATTGTCCTCTTTGGCTTCCTCCATCCAGAGCAGAAATGAGGCCCTGCTGAGATAACCAGCTGGGGTTACCAGTGAGTTACCACTGAACAAACATAAGCTTTTATTGCTTGGTTGCTGGTAAGGAAAGGGTAAGCAGGCGTAGGGCCAGCCTGGTGTCTTTCTTCTCCACAGTTTGTCTCACACTTCAGAAATGTAAGCTGCCTAGTGGTGGGGTAGACAGGCAGGGCCCTGGTGCACATGCCCGAGCCCACGTGACCATGCCTCAGTTCCTTTTGGTCCAGCCTGGGCCCGGAGCCCTGCAGCCAAAGGTCCTCTCATCTGGAGCCACCTGTGCAGAGCCCCAAGCTGCTGAGGCTCTATTTATATCCGTCTCTACTTAGCTCTCTGGGGCGCTGCTCCGCCATGCTGATCGGCTCCTCCTTTTCTCTTGTGGAAGCTAATTCTCCAGATTGATTAATTGCCACTTGTGCAGAGCCACCCGCCAGTCCTCTGCATCCTCACCATGCCTGCCTGCTGCCCTGCTTTGCTGGGGTCCTCCTCCCTCCTCAGAACCCACACTCCTGTAGCGTGGGCTCTGGTGAAGTGAGGGTGCTCCTTCCCCAGGACGCCGAAGGCGAGCTGGCCCAAGCTTAGGAGTGAAGGTGGGAGGGGTGGTAGCTGGGGACCTGGCCCTAGTCCTCCTCCTGCCAAAATCTTGTCCTACTTAAAACCGTCAGCACCCAGAAGCTTTCGCAAGGCAGTCTTCCTGTTCAGGAGTATCCCTGTTTTCCCAGCAGGTCACTGGGCCGAGGGTTGGGTGGAGAGTGTGTCCTCGCTCACCATCCCCTGCTCCTGTAGCTTGGTCTGGCCCAGGATGGCAGGTGCCACTGGGTTCCTGGAAGTGTTTTCTTCTTGGTGTTGCTGTCCTGTGGTTTGGGGACATGGATCTCTCCCCAGTGACCTGCTTGGACATCGGCCATGTCAGAGCCCTAGCAGGCTTCTGCTGGTCTCACTGTAGCTGCCAGTGGCTTGGCTCAGTGGCAGAGGTGAGGTGTGGCCTCCAAGGCCTAGGAAGCTGGTCCTTTTGCTGGAGCTTCCATCTTGGGGACAGATACTGTCTCTGCCAGCCAGGCCTGGTGCTTCCTTCTCTTTCCTAGTGAGCGGGGTTCTCGCTCCACCATGCAAGCCACACCATTACAGTTCATTTCTGGACATGGGTGAAAGAGGTGCAGAGGGTGGTTTCTGTCTCTGGGACTAGCTGTGGGCCTGGGGTGAACACCAGATGCCTTCCTCTGGAGCCCGAGAATCCACTTGACCCCTGGGTAGCAGCTCTGGCAAAGTTAAGAGTAGAGCTGGGTGGCTCTCTGTGATCCTTTCAGTGGTGATGCTACCTCTGTCACTCTGCCACAATGGGCTGCTCCTGGGGCGTCTCCCAGGGGCTGTCAGGAGCAGGCCTGCCTGAACTGTCAGCTGGTGTGAGATGTGAGGCTCACAGTGGGTCACAGTGGCCTCTGTCCCCCTCTTGAAGTGTGTGACTTCTCTTTCAGGATGTCCAGCCCAGGTCCTGGGGTGCAATGTGAATATGGAGCATCAGGGCTGCTGCACATTAGGATGAATTAGGCCCTGAAGCCATCTGGGGCTTGCAGCTAGGAAAGGAAAGAAGGGAAGTTGAGGTGGAAAGCTGCTTTGTTGGGATGTCATCCAGGGCTGGGAAGCACAGCTTGTGGCTGAGGTGCTCTGGCCACCCCTGGGCTTTCCTGGGCCCTGTGCTAACAAGGTGCTGACTCCTGCCTCCTTTTCTTGCCTCTGGCAGTGCCCCTTACCTCAGCTGAAAAGACCAAATGGCAGGAGCTGTGCTTTTGCTGGCCACTGGGTGGCAGCTCTGCCGAGGCATTGCCAGGGCTGGAAAGGGACGAAAGGCCTACCTGTTCCTCAGTGGCCTCAGACTTGTTCTCCTTCCAGCATGGCTTCCTTCTTGTGACTGTGTCCTTGGAGGCCAGCATCCTTCCTGCACCTCTGGGAGCTACTTCAGTCCTTTAAGGACTGCAGAGGAAGTTGGCAGAATCCAATTTCGTTCACCCATGGGATGGAGGATGGAGGTGTTGCAGGCACCCTGTTTAGTGCTGCGTGTGGACACATGAATGCAAATCTGTATGATGAGTGTATCCATTTCTAGGGACCAGTGTCCTTTGGACTCTGCCTTTGAACATGGCAGTGACCACTAGGAAGCTTCCTAGGACTTTTCACCCTCTACTCTGTAGGAGATCAGTCTTCCTGACTTCCCCCTTTAGGATCTGGTAGCCTTGCAGTAGAAGTAGTTCAGATAAAAACCTGTTCTTATATCTTGGATTTTTTTTTCTGCAGCTTTATTCTATATCTTGGTTCAAAACAGTGGCTATTGGGGCAACAGGTGGTCCACACAGACCAGGAAGACAATATGATGGTCTCTGAGGGGCTTGAAAGTCTGCAAGTGCTTAGGGAAGAAGATGAGCAATACGGAGGTGAACGCTGTTTCTTGATGAACTGGCTGGCCACCGGTGGGCTTCATGGCTGTGAGCAGAAGGCGGTGTGTGAATTGCCTTTGGTGGTTCCTGCCCAGCATCTGGCCAGGACCCTGCCTGCTGGCCAGCCTTTCTCCCTTACAGTCTCTTGGAGAGACCAGGGTGGGAGAGGCCCTCTACACACCTACTTTCTCAACAGGAAGAGTCCCTCTGTCCCAAGGACCAGCAGGACCTGGGTCTCTCTCAAAGGTCTAGGTCTACGCCATTGTGAGATGGCTCCAGCACCAGTGGGCTGGGTAGGGTGCTTACTAGTATTTTTCCACGCTCTTCACCTTCATTTTTGATCTAAAATATTTGGGGTTAGATGGATTTCAGCCGTTTATTCCTCTGTCCTTTTCTTGCACAGGAAACTAGATAAGGTTCACATACAGAAGTTCCTTTTTTTCTGGCAAGGCTGACAAGCAGATTCAAGAGGAAACAGATGCCACAGAACATCAGGCATCTTTTCTACCACCCAGGGTTTGAATCAGACCTGACGTGTGTGTGGCTGGAGCAGTTTCTTCCAATATTGTTGGCAAACGTCTTTTGGGGTTTTGGGGTGGGATGGGGAAGAATTGTAGATAAAGTACATTTTATTAATATGTAGAGAACCCTAGGAGAGAACACTAATGTTTAATCTTGGGCTTGCTTTTAGCATGTAAAGGAGCTTTGGGGGGCATTGCAGGGACTTGGGAGGCAGCAGGAAGGAGTCAAAGGGCAGAGATGGGCAGGAACAAGGAGCAGCTCCCTGACACTCTCTGGGAGCTGGGAGCCTTTCCACCCGTGCTCTTGGCTCGGTCTGCCCTTTTGTGTCTTCTCCAGATCAGAGGCAGAACAGGCTCCAGGCAGATGGAGACTTGGGGTCCTGCTTCATGACTGCTGAGGAGAGGGCTCAGGAGGGTCTCAGGGGCCAGCTCTCTGTTAAATAGTCATTGATGAGCAGGAATGCTTTAGGAGATGTTAGAGAGCTGGAATATGAGGAAGCCTGATCCTTTGCCATGGTGAGAGAAGGAAAGAGTGTAGAGTGTTGAATCTGTCATGGGGTAGGAGCAGGGGTCCTGGGACAGAATGGTGGAACCCAAGCAAAGGCACCAACCCTTGCCACTCTCCTTGGGAAATGTGCACACCAACAGTGTAGTGTACACACTGGGGCATTATCCCAAGGAGAAAAAGTGACTGCCCAGTGAGGGGCAAGTGAAGGGGAGGTGGCACTGGAGGGTTTGGGGAGAGAAATGGGAAGGGTCATTGCCACTGAGAACAGGTTGGGGCTGGGATGGCATGCAGGCTCAGACTGTTGTCTCAGAAGAGGTCTTGCTTCTTCTAGAATTAGCTTCTTGCACTAAGTGCCCAGACATGGTTATCTTTGTCATGTGCTTCAGCTTGATGTATTTGTTTTTGGGGCATCCTCAAGTCCAGACTGGTCTTGAAATGGCCAGCTCTAGGTCAGTAGAGAAGGAAAGATTGTTCTCAGGGGCTCCTTGTTCTTGGTCTCATAAGCAGAAGTGGCAGGCTGCCTTTCTCTGTCCATCATCTGAAGATGTTCATAGGTCCCTGGTGACAGTGATGGCTCGGCTATTGTGCTCATCACCCTTCTTGGGTTACAGAGGATTCCTTCAGATCGTGGTGCTGCACGGTGATGTTAGGGATTGAGGTTTTGTCTTTATCTTCTTTTGAAGGTTAAAGGAACCAGCCTACAGCTGAGGTAGGAATGCATTTCACCCTGAAATCAGAGACCAGCCTTTCTTCCTTTCTTATTGTCTCCAGTTTTGTTTCCTTTTGGATCAAGAGGTAGAATTAAAAATCTCTTTAAAAGAAGTCAGAAACCAAGGATCAAAGCCAAGATTGGACTTCAGCACTCTTACCAACTTGATGTTTGGTTCTGGGTCTCTCTTATCTCTGACAATGCACCTGCACAGGGCCAGACCCTTATTTCTGGGCCCCTATCTATACTTTCAAATAAGCCTTTCAGGAACAAACATGCTACCCCCACCAGATGTTTTGTGTGTCAGTTTGCCAAGAGGGTAGAGGTTTTTCAGGATCAAATTTTAAGCTGATAGAAAAATTCCCAATCTATTGAGTCTAGTCCAAAGACACCTGTAGACCCTAAGGGTTTCTGTGTCAAGGAAAAATTAATCATTATTGGAAATACTGTTAATGGTTGACCATGCCTTAGAGGTGGAAGAGTTAGGGTATCTTGACTGATAAATACTTTGGCAGAACAGCAGCCAGTCACCGGTATTGCTTGGAAATTCTCTTTTGCATGGGTTAGTAGCAGTGGCTAGGGATTCTGAAGAGAGCTGATGAGACAGCTATCAGCTTTGGATGCTGGCTGGGAAAGCTAGACTGTGAGCTAACCAAAGAGGAATGAAGCCTCTCTTCCTCTCCTTGGTCCTGGGTTGTCTGCCTTTCCCATCCCACTACATGGTGATGGGAATGGCTGTCTGAGCCTATTTTTCTTTTGGGTCTTGAAATCTGTCTCACCAACCCCATGCCCCTGCCCCCAGCACTGGATTTCCTGGATTCATTTTAGGAACTAGGGCTAGCTCTCCCCATGTACCCCACATACTCACGAGTTAGGTTCCCTTTCCTTCCCTCCTGCACTTCTGTATGGCTCCAGGGATCTTGAACTTGTGCATGGTTTACGATAGGGAAGTGGTTGGGGTGGGAAAGGGAATTTGGGAGGGTACTGGGGTTGGGCTGGGGAGGGGTGTTTGCATTTTCAGCCTTAGCAATACTGCAAGCATGCTTTGGGCTGTGTTTGGGGTTTCACCTAAGTAGATGGAAGGGGCCAGTGCCCAGTGCCCCCTCATGTCTATGATGAGGACCTGGGGGCATTATATGTCCTTCTGGCTTAGGGAATCTATGAAACCTTGTATCTGGTGAGGGGACGAACCCTCCTGATCATCTTGCAGTCCTCAAAAGGGAAACTCTACCAATGAGTATTTCTGTTGCCTACTGTGGACAATGAGAGGCCTGTCATGAGTTGACATTGTCCTTGGCTGGGTCAGTGGAATGGGATTCCCTTACCTGTCTTTCTGCAGGTACTAGGCATCTCCCTGGTCTCTAACCCCGCCAGCTGTTTATTCTAGTGTTCCTTTCCTGGATTCAGGAAATGTGTGTTGTGGGTGTGTGCGAGAGTCTGTTGTGTGTGCATGGAACCTGTGTGTGTTTGTGTGTGTGTGTGTGTGTGTGTGTGTGCCTGTTGTGTGTGCATAAGAGATTGGTAGGGACACACTGCTTTGCCTGGATAGCATCAGGCATAGGTGACCCTCTTTTTTGTTGGCTCTTTCTTTGCTGGACAACTTCTGTTTTGGTAGGAGGGTCACATTAGTAATACACCATCTTGGGTGTATTTTTTATGGAGATTGTATATACAATTATATAAATACATATAATGTGTTCTATTTTAAGGAGACGGGGAACTTATGTTGGGGGGTGAGGATCAGATGCAATAGTAGTGACTTACACTGGGAGCCTCAGGCGAGTGGTCCACACAGAGTGGGACTGGACAAGCCAGAGACGCAAGCTGGGCTGGATGCATGGGGCCTGTGCCCCTGCACACATATATAAATATAAGGAAAACCTATATAAAGTCTGTCTAGCTAGCTTATCTATATATCTATGAAGTCATAGTTTGCTTTATTTTTGTACCTGTGCTTAGAGATGCTTTGAGCAGTGTCACCTTCCCAAGCAGTCTGGGAAACTAGCTCATGCCTTGATGCCGCCTCCCTCTCTGTCCTTCCTGGGTTACAGTCTATGTTCAGAGATGCTTGGGTCTTTCTCACAGAAATGTGTATATATGAAAAAACTTTAAAATTAAACAAAGAACTCACTTGTAGAAGGACAAGTGAGCTGAAGGTTGTGGGCGAGTTATGGGATTGACGACCCCAGAAAACTCTGGTCCAAGTACCTCTTGGCACTGGGAAGGGTCACTGTGGTGAGATGCTTGATCTCGTGGGGGTGCTGGAGAGCTGGAAGTGCCACAGAGCATCCCTGTATGGCTGCGCTTGGTATCCAGCTCCTTGGAAGGAATCCAGCTCAGCAGCTGGGAAAGGGGATGGTCATGATAACTATGGCTGTCCTGGCTTGTAGCACCTGGGCTTAAGCAACTCTTGGCGGTATGGCAGTGAGAGAGTTTGCAAGGCTGACTGTGTGAGCCCAGGCTTGGAAAAGAGATACCCTGGGGATTATCACTGCAGATTTTTGGAACCAGTGTGAATGTAATATCTAGTATAAATATGTCATTGATGCTATTTTCATTTATTTTTAATTTGAAAATAAAATGCTGTTGGAAATGGGATGGTCCAGTCCTGGGACAATGAGTGGATAGTCAGAAATAAGAGATTAACTTTGGGCAGATCCGGGAGGATGGGTCTTCCTGGGACCTTCCTTCTGGTACCCACTTGGGGACTTACAGAACTGAACAACGTATTGGACAAATGTGACCAAGAATGGGAGATTCTGGCGGGAGGGTCCACTTGAGTTTGAGCAGCAAAGTGTGTGTGGGCTGAAGGATACCTCTCTGAGAATTCAAGACCTCATATATGCTGCAAAGGCAACATGCCTTGTAGCCTCGGCATGCAGCTCCTGGTGCTAGTTCTTCCTTCTGACTTGCTAAGTGCTCAGAACAATGTGTTTGAAGCTGGTGCAGGGCCAGATGGTGCAGGGATTCTGGGGAGTCTCATGACTACAGTCACTCATCTCTTATTTCTGCTTGAAACTCAAAATACGGCAATGCTAGCCCGTCTTTCCCAACCAAAATGTGATGTTCTCCAAGAGCTCTTGTCTGTGGATTTGACCATTTGAGGATCTCAGATGCCTCAATCCCGGGAAGGGCTCTTTTTTGCTTTTGAGGAGTGTTATGAGAAGAGGAGGTTGGGGTAGAGCTTGCATCTAACTTCTGATTCTTACTGGATCTTATATGGCCCTGCCATTCATTAGGACACTGTTCTTGGGGCTCCACGATTGTGTGTTCAAAACATTTCCTATTGTCCACAGACATCACAGGAGAACAGGCCTGTTCATGCAGTACTGGGAGGGCTCCAATTCTGGCTGCAACTGATAGGTGACTGATCTTTCCCATATCCTCCCCAGGAGGCCAGGAGAAGATGCAGCCAGGTATTTCTTATAAGATTTTCTGGGAGGTGGAGCAAGAGGAAGAGCAGCGAATTCTAGGTCCCTCCCCAGCTTGCACCCTCTACTGAGCTACCAAAGAGGGGTTTCCATGACTATGCTTTTGGCTCTTAGAGCCAATCTTTTCTCTTTCTCTGGAGACTCTGTCCTGTTCCTGGTCACATGTAAGCTGCAGAGTCAGCCAGTTCAGCACACAGTCACCTCAAAGGGCTCATCCTCCATGAGGTCCAGAGTTCCTCAACATTCCATCTCTCTCCACATTGAGCCAAAGGCTTGATCCTTAGAAACCTCAGCAGCACCAAGGTGCATGAGATTGGGAGACCCTGCACATTGTCATCGCATTTCTCAGTGTCAAGTGGATGCTTTATTTGGGAGAAAACAGGGAAGACAAGGACCTTGAAATTTTGGAGCCTGGACAGGAAGTGTTACTTACCTATGCCCTTTCCTTGACATCTCCCAGAAAGAGGGTGCAAGGCTGGGCATTGGAGGGGAAAGGACAGATATCCCAGCATCAATCTCCCATTTCTCAGAAGAGCCATCCTTTCACAAAGGCATGTGGAGCAGAGGGGATCGGGATCTGACTGTGTGGAGTAAGCAAGATACTCTATTTTTGAACCTCTCAATTAATGGGACAGGTGGGTGGGAGGGGTCTGGTGATGAAGCTTTTGAGGCCTACAGCCACTACCAGGGATCTGAGCTGCCCCCTATGCTGTTACTTATTCCTTGGTCCCTAGATAGTGGAAGGGATATGGAATTTTGGTGCTTTTCTTTTTGGTAGGAGGTTGAGAGAATCTGTAGAGTTGTTCTAGTTAAGCTACCTCTGTCTGTTACATGGAAGCAGTGTGGAGTAGATAGGTCTGCTTGGAGTTGCTCTCCCAAGGATCAGTGTGGGCACTGTTCTCTTCCACATCATTATCAACAGGGAGCTAGGCAAGAGGGAAGGGCTTGCCCATTGTCCTTGGAACTGCCTTGGACAAAATAAAAGTGGGTGGTGAGGGCACAGTCGCGCCTGCACAGCACTTCCGTGGGTGAGGAAGTGGCTGTGCCTTTGGGCAGGGGTCCCTGCTGTTGCACACTGTGAAGCTGGATGGGGAGGACTTGCTCTGTGGGATGATGCGGATGCTAGAACTTGAGATGAGGAGTGGGGAGGGGAAGGGTAGATCTGACGCTCCACTTACTAAGTTGTATCCATCAGAGTGAGAAAGCCTTCAAGTTCCATTTAGATTTAATTTCCTAACTGCTGTTTGTGGGGCCAGAGATGGAGGCCATGGACGAGGTGTACGCCACCAGTTGCCTGTTCTTGTCCATAGCCTGATGGGGAGGGATGGCCTCCTGCTCATGTGAGCATCTCTCAGCCCTGTTACCCACTTACGCTCTCCCACCTGGAGGGACTGTGCCATCCTGGACGTGCTTCTTCCATCGCACATAAGGAGGCAGTTCTGTTTCCCACCTCTCATCGCCCTGAGTTCTACAGACATGCAGAGGGTAGGGGTGAAGAGTGCTTCAGGAGGGGCAGCTCCCACCGCCCTCCCCAGGGCTCCTAGCAGACTTCAGACCTTCAGATGCCTGGCAGCCTCCTTCTTTTGGTTCTTTTCTAACAAGTCTGGATTGACTCTTGGTTTCGTCATGAGATTTCTTGCTCTCATTTCGAACTCTCTTTTCTTCCTTCAGCTTTCTTTGGGGCTTCCCCCATTCATACCAGGTCTTCATGTGAAGACTATCCAAACCTCATTTCCATTTCTTGAATGTCGAGTATTATCTCATCACCACACTAGGGTGCTTTATGGTGCTGTCTGAGAGGCCAGCAGGGTGGAACTGGCTCCTCCCACTGGTTCTTTAGATCTTGCTGTATTTCGTCTTCTTTTTTTCCCCCATAGCGATTTGGGGTGGGTGACTTGGGAGTAGATTTGTGTTTTCTCTCTCTTTCTTTTGTGTATGAATGAACTGGTAAAAGTCAGTTATCATGAGTAGCTGACTTCATGGTATTGACTGGTTGGCTGACTTTGGTTCCAAATTAAAGACAAACCAACATGTTGTATAGCTGCGTACAGAACACTTTTGAGTGTGAATTTGGATGGTGACTAGAGGCTTACTTTTTGAACTTCAGGTATGTAACTCAAAAGTAAATAAAAACACTATTTTTTCAGTAAGCTTTTTTTTTCTTCTAAAAGATAACTTAGAAATCAAACTACAAAACATTAAATCGGTGCTGTACCTAAGCCTTATACAAACATTCTACACTCTGTATAACCTGTGTCTGGGGCACTCCTTGCTCCATCACCCTCTTCTCAAAGCCTGGAAATGCCAGTGTATGCCAAGCCTGGGGTCTTGGGTACCAGTGGGCCCAGGGGACCCCAGGAGCAGAGGGTGATGGTGGAGATGGGGCCTGGTTCTGCTACCTGAGCAGATATGGGAAGGAAACCAGGTGCTTGGGTGTGTGTGGCATGTGTGTACACATGTGTATGTTTGTGTGTGTGCAAATGTGTATGCATGAGCATACAGGTGCACAATGCCAAAGTGAATGCACCAACTGGGGCTTGAAAGGGAGACCCGGGTGGGCCCCGGGAGTGGGACAATTGGGATGAGGGGGCACACTCCCTCCCATTTCCTGTCTCCTGTTTCTTCTCTGTCAGGGAGTGGAGGTATACTGGAAATAGCTACATTCTTAGCTGGGTGCTTCTTCTTCAAAATCTCCAAATGCTAAGCACTTCTAAAGGCCCCATCCAAGGGGCAGGCATCTCTGGCCACCAAATCAGACTGCCAGGACTAGGAGGAACCTTTCTTCTCCCCAGCCCTTACTTGGGTTTTGAGGAAGAGAGCTCCTCCTGCAGGGTCCCTGCATCTCCCCTTCCTGGGCCTGGATCTGCTGTAGCTGCCACTCTCCAGCTGGGCTACCATTGGCTATCTTGCTCCTTCCTAGCCCACAGAGAAGACCTCCCTGGAGATGACCCCTACGCTACACTGCTCTGTGGCCCTGAGCAATAATGCCTGCCCTGGTTACCAATGACAGTGATTCCTTTGGCCTTGGACTTGCCACTTAAAAACTGACACCCCAAACTCAATTAGGGAGAGAATTTGCAGTCTGCTTGGGTCAGACTGCTGTGCCAGGCTCCACTCACTGGTATTTTCAGGCTTGCTGAATACTAACCAACTCATTGTCAGTAACACTGCATGTTCATACCCTGAATTAAAAATCAAAATGAGCTAACAAGTACATGAGTGAACCAAGAGCGAGAAAAAGCGGCATGTCAAATGACAAGATGTGTAGCCAGTGAAGGTGCCCTGGGGAGTGTCTCGAGTTAAGCTAAGTAAAAGAAGTTTAGTATTTAAATTGCTCCTCATGTAACATTACTCTGCTTCAGAAATGTTTTGTATTTTGATATAAATAAACATTTGCTAAAAAAAAGTTCACTTTCTAGTTCTGTTTTGTACCTAGGAATTATTTTCTGATGTTATCTAATTTTGCCACTGGCTGCTGGAGCTCCCAAAATCAACCCAGTTTAAACTCATGGCACAACACGATTCTGAGGAATTGAGTCTTGAAGATGAAGGGGCTGCTGTTCATTCACTGAGCAGTTGTGTGCTGAGGGTATATTGTATGAGTCACCAATCTGTGCCCTGGGATCTTCCAGGGAGCAAAAAAGACAAAGCTCCTGCTCTTAGAGGGCTTGTAGTCTAGGAAGATGAGCAACACATGAATACTGCAATAAGAAAACTATGTAGAACACAGTGAGGTGCCCAGTGCATGGAGGATGGTGCTGAGTCAAAGGTGGGGCTTGCCTGGCACCCAAGGGTGCCCAGGGGCAGCCTGTCTCAGTGACAGAGGCACAGGAACTTTTCCTTTCTAGGCTCTTCACACTCCTTGAGATCTTTGCTGACTCTACGATGCTGTGATGAAGGTCACTTTCTGGTTTGATTCCATCCTTCTCCAAATGGGTACCTGACCATGACAGGCTGGCCCTCAGCAAAATCTCTGTCACTTACGAGGATCCAAGGAACTGTGTTGTTCCTTCCACTTGAAGAGATTAGCAGGTGTCTACTTCACCCTCATCTCCACATTTGATTTGGTGGATTTTGCTACCTAAATTGGCCTATTTTCCTTCCCTGACCACATTGTCTTCCTCATTTCTTGACATCTTTTCTTCCTTGTATCAACCTAGGCCATGCTCCCTGGTTTATGGTCAATAACTGTGCTTAGTTTTAATTTCATTTGGGATTTAAGTAGAGGGAGAAATACCAAAATATATTCCTTTTTAAAACAACCAATGAGACAAATAGATCCACCTGCAAGTTTAAAAACATCTGTCATAGGTAATCTTGGTCAAGAGGACCTTTACTATATCAAATAGTGATAAGGGACTTCAGTCTATTTTTGTCCCTATCTATATTTTGCAAAATCCTTTCGCATTTCATTTGGTGTTCATAATAAGCTTATGTATGAAGTGAAATATGTCATTTTTGGTCAGAACCAATGAGCCAATCAGTGGCCTTCCTGTCCTCTCCTCCCTCATACCTTTTCTTGTCCTGCAAAGGCTTTAAAGCAGAAAAAAGTTGTCTAGAAAAGAGAAATAAGGCCCAACACTTTGCCTGCATCCTTCTATATGGAAAGGACACAGCCCCAGGAGTCCTGCAGTCCCCCAAGTGCAGTCCAGGGCCCTGGGAACCACCCAGTATTTAGCCCTTTCCTTGGTAGAAACTCAGGCCCATGACTGTGATGAAAGGCTTCGGAGGAGACCACATGACAACAGAGCTCAGACTTTATCCACCTCCACAACATCTTGGGGGTCTAAGACTTGGCTTTTAGGTTTTGGGGAGAGATCTGGCTGGTCCTGAGACCCCTTCATCATCCTGCAGATGGTACGGGGCAGGGTGAGCCACACTGAATCTGCAACCAGTCCAAGTCATTTTTGTGTCCCCAGCCTCCCCTTTATAATACCTTCCCCCTCTTTCTATAGAACTCTTTCCTTCCTAACCAGGTCCCAGGCCCCTCTGCCCACATACCCAGTGCAAGAATTTCAAGATGCCCAGGTAGATGCCCTGCGGGGAGGCAGGCGGGATCCTGAAGTCCCAGATCCTAGCTTCATAGCTCTGCTGTTGAGAAGCCGTGCATTCCCCTTCCTCCTCAGTCCTCGCTGACAAACCATCTGCATTTACTATGCCATGCTCATCCACCCCCAGGGGGAAATCCTTCTTGTTGTGCTGTTTGGTGAGAGATGGACTTGAGAACAGTACTTACCCTTTCTGGGGAGTGTCTGAAGGAGGGGGTGTGGGAAAGGATGCACAGCTTCATGGTGTGCACTCTCCAGTGTCAGGACTTCTTAGCAGCACCAGGCTGAGCCTCCAGGTTTTGCAGCTGGGCTGCAGCCTTTCCAAGGGTGGAGATACCACGTCCTCCTTGCTGGCCACCCCAATTGCTATGACATTATTTTGGAGCTGTTTAATTTGGCTTTGAGGGGGAAGCACTCTTTCCACCAACATAGGGAGGGAACAGAAACACTTAGAAGTTGCAGACACTCCTCAGAGACTGGACTTCAACCCTCCATTCATCTTTGTCCCCAGCCTGTCTTACCAGCCACAGGGTGGGTGGGTAGTGCAGCGGCCATCCTGCTGCATCTGGAAAGCTGTGCAGGAGACACCAGCCTTCTTGAGGAGAGACACTTAGCTCCCATCTGTCCTTACTTTGGGGGTGTTAGTCACCAAGAGGCAACAGGAAGTGCCCCTTAATGATCCTTTATATGCCCACTGTGTGGGGGGCACATAGTGAGGCACTATGACTCACTAGTGGGAAAGCTCCTTGGGGTGGGGCCCTCTTATACATATTTATAGAAGGAATGAGTGAATGTTCAGAAAAAATGCCTATAATATTTGAGATCATTGAATTTGGGGGTCATCAGTGCCCTTAACAAGAGCAGCTTCCATGCAATGATGGGAGCAGAAACCAGATCAGAGAAAATTGAGGAGACCAGGTTACAGACAGCATTCTGAGAAGCCCTGGGTTTTAAGAGAACATTTGAGGTATAGCAAGGCCAACAGACAAGGAGACAATGGTCTCTGAAAAGGTGCTGTGTGGTGCACACACCATGCTATGCCATGCCACACAGCCACATGGGGAAGCACTGGGTCATAAGAAGAGGGAGGGCAGGGACTGTGGACAAGAGCTGCTACTGTGGAACAAGTTGAAGGAGGAGGATGTGGAGGTTTGAGGTCTAGGTAGTTTAATTTCATTGAGTTCTTCGGTGTAGAAACCCTGAGTGTCTGCACTTGGTTCTGAGATGTTTGGGGCAGGAGGACAGCAGCCCAGATTATGAGAGCCCATTAGAGGAGAAGGTAGGAGGTGGGCTTTGGATGGGGTTTGTCTGAATGTAAAATGTGCAGTCACAGATGAGTTGTTTTACCAGGAATTGGTGCCAGCCCTGGGTGGGGCAATGTCTCCAGGGTCAGTGAAGTTAAACCATCAGAATACAGAAAATAAAAAGAGTAATTAATATTCTTAGTAGCAGAGAAATGGGGTGAAAGTCTGTATCACAAACATGGGCATTATTTGTTGTTTAGCTGGAAGATATTAAAGCATGTTCTTAAGCTTCTGGAATCATCCAATAGGAGAAGCAACTGATGCTACTAGAGAAAGGAACAAGATCCCTAACACAGAGAGTGCAGGGGAGCTAGCCCACATGTAGATGGATTTCCCAGGAGGAAGAAGACTCCCAGATGTCAGGGGAGCAGGAGGGAGCTCTCACTTGATAACTTGTATTTTCTTATGAAGTTAGAAACAAGGTTATTAGCTAAAAGGTCAGAGGCACCATGGTGGTGATAAAAAATTATGAAAAATTAATGAGCTCACTAGGGAAACGCTAAGAACTACTGGACTGGGTTGTGTGTCAATTTGAGGTTAGTGATTATTAATATATTGTGGTTTATCCAGAGTTGGTGATTTTCCAGGAAAGTGTATGGAGTGGGACAAGATAGTTGAGGGAGATTATAAAATAATAAACATCAGAAACCATGGAATCTGAGGTTGGTAAGTAAGATAGGATAAGGCTGATAACAAAATGATAGGTCCAGTGGTTTGGAGTCTTGATTACTGCTTGGCTTTGGAGTAGGAGGACAGGGTTGAAATTCTGTGCTTGAATAATAGGAACCCGTAGTCAGATTCTGGTGTCAACAATTTAAAGGAAGAATTTCCAGTAGCAGTCAGGTCCATGGTGTGCCTGTGAGAGTCACTGGCTCAGGCAGGGTAAAGAAAAGTTCACTGAAGTTGAGGTGTGGGAAGAACTAAGAGCCAGGATGGTGACTGGATCACTGGGCAGGGTTCAGCACCGAGCAGATCACAGGTGTGAACCACTGCACCCAGCAAACCTAGGAGTCGTTCTTAATTCCTCTTTCCCTTACCCCTGACGTTGTCTCTCGGGAAGCCTGTGGTCTCTCCCTTGCAGACATACCCCAACTGGTCTACCCCCTCTGTATCCCCATGTGGTGGCCCTAGTCTCAAATGCCATCTTCTCAGCTTTGGGTGACATTAGAGATCTTTTTACATGTCTTCCTGCTTTGGTCCTCACCCTCCTCAATTCATTCTTTCAGAGAAGCCAGAGGGACTTTTATTTTTTATTTTTTTGAGACAGGCTCTTGCTTTGTAGTGCAGGCTGGCCTTGAACTCACTATGTAGCCCAGGATGGCCTCGAACTTGCAGTGATCCTCCTCCCTCCGCTTCCTGAGTACTGGGATCACAGGAGTGCAGCACCACACCCAGTTTGCTAGAGGGATTTTTTTTTAAATTAAATTTTTTATTGGTACATTGTAGGTATACAACACAATTAC